CTTGGCTTCCCAAAGGCCATGAAAAGTGAGATAAGAAATTAGGCAGCAGGTTTTTTTGCATACATTGAGTAGCCAAGGGAGGAAAAGGATGAAGGTTGAGACGTTCATAGGCTGCTTGTGCTGCTGCTGAGGTAGCTCCTGACTTGTGATTTAGTAGTGAAATAATGATGTGCAATAATTTAGAAAGGTCTCTCTTTCGTCTAGTCATAAATCTCCTTTCTTGGGAAGCAGAGGCAAGATGTCTTGCTTTGTACTTGCTGGATTCTGTCCATGTTTAGGTGGCTTGAATACAGGAGACAACTGTTGCTGCAAATGCACAACTCTTCTAGTCTCCTTCTACCATCATTTCCATCTGTGCCAGTAGCAACTCTGTATAAATCCTACAATACTTATGCATATAGTGAACTGAAATGGCCCTAGGAAGCATCTCCAGGATAAAGAATAGGAAAGACTTCAGGGAACCATGCCAAACTGTTTTTCCATTTCATGAAACTAGACCCGCCCCATTCCCCCCCCCCCCCCCCCCTCCGCCACTCCCCCCAATCCCCCCCCCCCGCCCAGTTCTGCCACAGTGAGACTTCTTTTTTTTCTTTGAAAAGGACGTGTAAACACTTTTAGCTGTGTCACTGAGTTAACCAGCCAAGGTAAAGGCTGCAGAATTTGTAAAGCTAGTGTCACTGGAGAGGGGTCACTAGATCATATGCTTTTTAATTACAGTTTGCAAGTACACATTCAGTTCTGCAGCTTTTAAGCAGCTTCAAAAAGCAAAGCTGGATACACAGATTGAAGCTTACACCTGCTTTCATATCTGCTGACTTGTACCAGCAGTATGAGACAAGATGTGTCTCATCTACTTGGTGAAAATGCTTTTATTTTTTGTTTTCAAGTCCAATACTTTTGAAGTTCTTGGCACTGTGGAAAAATTATGGCACTTATTTAAGGGTTTGAAGACGCAGTTAAGCATCTAATTTTAAACCTGCACACTCAAGGGTATTGGACTTTGCTACAAAGTTATTTCCTTTTTATGCTATCTGCCAGCTGCTGAAGTGTGCATTAGTACATTTGACATACTAATGCATTCTAGTAATGGAGATACCTGATCAAACAGCAGCTAAATGATCACAAAATAGATGTCCGAGGTGAAATCAGAGGCTGCAGTAAACAAGGGAAAACTGCTTGCCTTTATCATTTGCTGACAAGTGAAATCCATATCTCCCATCTGACTTGAAAAACTGGCCCAGTTGGTGGAGCCCTTAAAGTCTTTATGACCCAGCATCCCCTATCATCAGCTACCACATGCATTATTGTCTTCTGTCTTTGTGATGCTTTTGCCTCCCTTTCTCAGAGTAATTTTTGACGGGATTTTGTAGTATGTTTCTGTAATTCTAAATAACCATATTCTGACTTGCTTGTAAATTAAAATAAAATATTTAGCTACTAATACACTCTAGCATACCTGGTTTTAATGAGGTACAGCCCTTTCCCAGTTACTGAGTGGAGCCTTCTCCCTTGTCTTGCCGCTGACATGAAGCAGTGAAGGTGGCTGTGTACTGTCGGTGTGTGCTGTGGGTGCTCCCCAGGTATTGCAGTGGCTGGTCTTTGCTTTACATTATCGCGTACCTATCACTCACTTTTCAGATTTTGTATGCTAGATGCTCATTGAGATGGCATTTGAATATAGTCCAGTTATTCCTAGTGGGGAGGTTTGTTATCAAATAAGCAGGAAAAGTGGCATTCTCAGCCCCAGCAGATGCACAAGTGTCAACCGGTTTGTACTGATCTGTTGAACAGCAAACAGGTAATGTAAGGGACAGTTGGAGTATTACAACACAGGCTTTTAACACTGCAAAAGCTATTTCTGTATTTAACATGCTGAGAAGACAAGCTAATCACAAAAGACTTGTCTAGATGTCTGTGTTCCTTTGACTCCTTAGGTATTTTGTAGATGCTGACGGCCAGTGTGAACTTTAAATCAATTTATTGTGTATGTTTACATATGCAGTAAAACTATTTGCCATATCATTTAACTACACACAGAGTGAATTGTTGACCATGAGCTGATCTGACCTTTTCAGGTCTAATCAAGAAATCTGAAATATTATTTCAGCCTGTCAGCTCCAGTAATACACAGTAAGCATATTTGGATCGAACTGAAAATGTCAGACACACTCTAATATGCAACCCATCAAAGTTACGATGCATATGAACCAGGAACTGGTTAAGAATATAAATCTGTAACATCCGTGGTGCATCTCAATTGCTTAGATAAATTGTTCTGCTATTGATACAGGCTATCTAAAAACATGCATTAAAAGCAATTCTTTATAGTACGTGTGAGATGTACAGCTGCTTAAATATCAAAATTATCTTGAAAAAGGGGTGATAACACCACTTCAGAATATTACTGGGAAAAAACAGTGAGAATACTGGTGCTCTAGTTACTGTCTTGGTAGCTTCCTTGTGTGGTGATGTGGTCTCAAAAGATTAGTGGTCTCATGTAACCTCAGAATTTTCCTTTTTAATTTTAATAATTTGCTGCTTGTGAATTTTTTACTCTTTCCAGGAATAATCCATTGTATAAGCTGAGGTGTCCTTATCAATCCTATTTGTGTTGACTTTAGTATTAAGCATTTTTTGTACTCCTATGCTTTTTATGAAAAAGTATGCTTCTATTTTTAAAAACTTTCTAAAAGTGGTGTTTAATTATGTTTAATTTATTTGTTTTCTTTGAAGCTTCTGTTCTTGATATTTGACTAGATACTGAGATCTAGGATAAATCTGTCTTTAATAATTACTTATCAGGCATGAGACCAGTATAATTTTTGGATTATGTGTTTAAATTTGGATTAACATGGGTGGGCACAACGAAAAGCAACTTTGTACCCTAAGAAAATGGTATTTTGTTAGCTAAACACAGTCTATCACGATCTTTTAATATGAAAGCACTTGTTATGCTAAAATTGAGTTGGTTTTTAATCTAATCATGGGTAGTTCGTGCAATTTGAGGCATTATTAGCTGAATTGCTACTATTAGTAAAACGTTGTTGGAACTAGAATTAAAATGAACTATGAGAAGCATTGCTGAACTGGTAACTTTGCATTAAAGAGCAGTGTAGATGTTAAACTACCCAGGCTGTGGTATTTGAATTGTTCTTGTGAGGCAATGCTGCCCTCCCCTGGATGCTGCAGAAAGTAGGAACAAGTTCTAGGGCTTCCTATTAAAGAGAAACTGCTGAATTGGTGAAAATGCTGAAAAAATGTTCCTAAAAAGACCATTATGTGCCTTCTCTATTACAGGATTAAAAAACAACAATGGCACCAACATTTGTGTAGTGCTTTTATGTATGCATGGTGCAGATGCTGTGAACACACATGACAACAAATTGAGGGCTGAATTAAGTTTGGGTGGCAATTTGGAAGATGAATTGAAGACTAAACATACTCGGTAGCTGCTGAAAGTTGGCAGAACCAAGTTCAATAAACTTTTGTTTAACTCAATAATTTATACATAACGTTTAGAGATTTATCATTAACATGTTCAGTTCTGTAATACAAAAGTAAATGAGACCATGGTAGACGACTTGCGTGGGACTAGGATTAGCTCCTGTTCAAATGAAGGTATAGCAAATCCATCATCTTCTGTCAAGGGCTGTTGATTACAAAGGTATTACCACAGGCTCAGGAAGTCCCTCCACTGCACATTCCTGAGAGCTAAGGAAGGTAGTCCAAGGAAATATTACTATTGCATGGTCTATTCTTTATGTATTTCTTCAGATATCTGTTAGTAACCACTGCTGGAGACAGAATATTGAGGTAGAAGGTTCTTTAGTCTGTCCTGCCAAGGCCTTTGTCTGTCAAATAAGTGTGTTGCCTTTTGCTTTAATTTTGTCTTCCTTCCATTTCTCACTGCTAGGCAGTTTCATCATAGTCCAGATAGCAGAAAGAGATGAGTCTTGTTCCAGATAAAAAAAAATTTAGTTCCCACATCTGACTGCAGTGAAGTGTGTGTGGTAGGGTTTGGGGTTTTTGTTTGTTTGTTTTTAAGGTATAAAATATCCCTTTCTTTTTATAATTAAGATTTTTCTAATTGCTGTAAAACTTACAAAACACACAACCTTCCTTCCTGTGTCATGTGGTGACTTGTTTTGTTTGCTCCTCGTCCTTCTTAATGCATTGAAGATGACCTAACACTAGAGAAAACTGGAGAGAGTATGTCAAAATCTCTGGTTTGTGCATTTCTTCATGTCTTAGATGTGAACAGATTGCCAGATTCAGGATCAGGAGGGAAGGTTTTTTTCCTCCAGATGAATTTGCTCGAGTGTGAGTTCTTTTCTATTAAAGAAACTTGAAACACTTGAAAGATGTGTTAAGAACTGTGCAATATAATGACATTCCCAACCTGACCTGCTCTGGTCGAGCAGCATGCTACAGTGGTGGTGACTGTTGATGTTCTACTGCTGCCTTTTGTAATAAGGTCTGAGGAGTTGTTTTGTGTCTGTGGTGCCCATCAGTCCATAGAGCAGGTGCTTTGTGGACCATTTTGAACTGAACCCCAACTACTCCGTTACCTCTGGTTGTGGTAGATGAGACCTGAAGATCCCAGTGGTCCTTCACAGGCTTCTGTTTCTAAAGTTAATTCACTGACTGCAAAAAAAGGTAGTATTTACCTTCCTGCATGTAAGTTAGTAGGCTATAATAGGCAATCCTTTTGAGAGCTACCTGTAAAACCACTGCAAATATGGCTCCATGATAGTTTAAGGTGAGCTGAATCAACACTGAGCCTTTCCCTTTGTGACATCCTGCAAAAAAACAGCAAATTCAGTTGTTTTTTTTTTTATGTTCTTCTTTTTTTGTTAGATTGGCATTCTGTCAGTGTAGCATCCCAGCTCAGCTCATCAAATGGTTATGTGATGGCAGTGATGTCATTCCTTGGCGTAGAACAAATGTATGAGTTCTAAGACTGTGTAACAGTTTTCTTTCTTTCTCTGTAACTTTTGCAGGTACTGGGGCTGCTGGTGTGGACCCTGATTGCTGGAACAGAATACTTCCTTTATCCAGCCTTTGGCTGGGTGATGTTTGTAGCTGTGTTTTACTGGGTTCTCACCGTCTTCTTTCTGATCATCTACATGACAATGACCTACACCAGGATCCCCCAGGTGCCATGGACCACGGTGGTAAATACACCCATTCTTTGTTGTTTCAGGCTTGCTGTGCTATGAAGAGAATAAAATATATTCTATGGGTATAGTTAACCAGCTGTACTTGTGCTTTTGCAGATTTTTTCCCTAATAACTGTGTGTCTGCGTACTTGCAGTGTTTAACCTTCATACCACCCAGACACTTTTAAAATGCTTTCCCTATGATGTTTCACTGTTTTGTTCTGCAGTTGATGTAGTGACTTGATTTTTTAATAATGTGCACGTGACTGATACTTAGGATTCTTTTCTCCCCGTAGTGAGGGATTACAGCCTATGAAGAGTGAGTCTGTTGCTGCCTCTGAGCTAACAGACCTGACCATATGGCTTAAACAGCAGAAATCCCTACTTGAGTCAACACCATGAACTGGAAGTGGAACCCTGGCTTTTAAAACATGAGTCTTGCTTGGCTAAAGAGCAAAGGTGGTTCAGGGGTAGCAAGAGTCTGACAGTCCGCATATGGCCTACTGTGACAATGGTGCTGAAAATTAGTGTTATATATATATATGTAAAACACATGCCATGTAATCCCTTGCTTTTTAGCTCAAGACTTAATGCAGATCAGATAAACAGCTAATGTAATTACAGAAAAAATTCACAGGCACTTAAAATTCAGATCCAGGTTTTGTGGTTTGAACAAACCTGGCTAGCTGTACCTCTCAACAGTGTATTTTTACATGATTTTCATAACAAGCTGGTGTTCAGGGTAACAGATCCTAAAAGTCATTGTCATCTCAGCAAACTGGCTATTTGTGACCCTTCCAAGAATTATGATAAATTTTAGCTTTGTATTTGCCTGGTTACAGTGAGATACTGTTCGGGTGGGGTTGGTTTGGTTGGTTGTTTTTTTTTCCTACCTAAATATTATTGACTAGAATTCTGTTATTTTTATGATAAAATATATTTGACTTCTGTGTTGCAAATAGCTTGTTATCAGCGATGTTGTGCATGTGACTAAAATTGAGTACTCTTTTCTTTTCATCTTCCCATTTACTGCTGTAATAAATAGCCAGCTATAGCAATTACTAATAAGAACAACCAGGATTAAGTTCAGATAGCTTCTCTGCTTTCAAATTTCATGAACAGCAATTACCATTAAGGCTATAACACTGCTATAGTAATGTTGGATTATTTCAATTACAGCAATAATGTGTCTGGGTACATTTAAAGGTGTGCTTTTTTTTTTTTCCATTGCATTAGATGTAAGTAAAGTACATTCAAAGGGAAAGCATCTTTCTATCCATTTGGACACAGCTTTGGTCATTACCCCTCTTTCATCAGTTTAACACTATTATCAGACAACAGCTGCACATAAATGAGTTAGTTGCCCCTGATCTGTGTGGTAGACAAGCTGTGGAGTATTTGATTTGTTTCTACTTCACATTGAATGTATTTCATGCTCTGAATTCCAAATATATTTTAGATAAGATCACATAAATGTAGGTCCAAAAGGTAGTCTCCTCTCATAGTCAAGGGTAATGTGAAGAGAAAATAAAGGCAAAATAAGTGAAGGATGCTTGCATTCCACCTTGTTTTGCTCTAAGTTATTAAAAGAGCTGTTGGGAAGAGCCTTTGAATTGGACCTTTGCCATTCCTGGCTGGCCAAGAGGAATGCTGGTTCTCTTTTCCAGAAAGATGTTAGTGTCTTCATTCAAGATGCACACCTTTTTGAGTGAGTGAGTTTACGCCCACCTTCCCCCTCTTCTCTGAAGTATCCTGAGTTTCTCTTTCTGGTAGTTATTGCTTTGCCTCCTTAGGCGACAGTTAGCTCAAGCTGTGCCTATTGTATGCAGTATCCAAAATTACATCTGGACTTCTCTGTCATAAATCCACTTTTTGCAGGTTAAGCACATTACCAAATTGCTTAAAATGCAGTTACTTTTACTGCAAAGTAACCCAAAGGATGTGCTTCAAAACTGATTCTCCTTAATACTGCAAGTTCTTTGCTAAAACAATCAATGGAAGCTTTTAAAATCTGGTAAATTTGAATTTAAGAAGCAGATGGTAATGTAGCATGAACCATTTGGTTTGAGTAATATATTGGCAGTAAAGGCCCAATCAGCTTGCATTGCATTCCATCTTCCCCAACAGTGTTATTTCCCAGAGCAGCAGTTCTCAAAAATTATGTGCTTTTTTCTTTTCCACATGACAAGATATTGCAGGGATTTGTAGCTTTCCAGGGTAATTGAGTCTTTCTAGAACGGGAAGTCTAAAAATAACAACAAATACTCTAGGCAATCAAATTTGGAGTTTGAAAATCAGTGCTTTACAGACTTTCACCTGAACCTGCCAATTGTTGGCATCTTATCCTAAAATTGACAGTTGGGTATTACTGGAATGGCCCAAATAAAACAAGAGGTGAGATCTGCGAATAGAGATAATATGTTTTATTAGATTGACTGATATAGGGGAGATAAACCCCACTCATTTATAAATGTATGAATGAAACCTCAAGTCCCAGGCCTTGGACTCCATGTGAGTGCTGAGGCACTGCCTTCGGTTCCCTGTGGACAACGGGGTAAATGGCTCCTTTCAAATGCCCTGAAGTTGCAAAGACTTCAAGAAGCACAGGAGGATGTGCATGCCCTTCAGTCTGCTCTGGAAACCGTAAGAAGGGGTTTTGCTTGGAAAGTCTCACATAGGCAGTGGTGACCTGAAGACTGACTTGTTGGCAGATGACAGCACAGCATGCTGCTCTTTGGAGGGGCCTGCAGTTAAGAAAGCACGTGTTTGGGGAACTTTCCCTTCAAAAAGGGTTGACCCCTGTGTCACAGGAGTGTGTGACAGTGGGCCAGGCTCCAATGAGTCTGAAGTAATGTCTGCCAAAAGCAGATATCCTGGAGATGGATGGAGGAACTTCTATACCAACCACTTCAAGCTGTTGATCCATGCTTTGGTGCGCTGAAGGAACTGCTGATGTGGATACCGCTGTTGTCGCTGCCTTCTGAACTTCTTGCGCTGCAGCTCTTTTTTTAGATTCTGCTGGAGTTGGTGACTAGTGAATTAGTGACTAATTGGCATATATTCCTAGAATCCACTGGGTCAGACCATGGAAATTTATAAGTTGGAGCCACACCAGTATGGCAGCACGTAGAGATAACTGGAGCAACAGAGTTTATGATTATGGTATTTGTGTGACACTGTGGAGTGCAAACATGGGGCCAGAAGCTGAAGGGAACAGATGGTGTACAACATGAGGATCTGGTCTAAAATGATTTGCTAATTCCTGCAGTTATAACTAGGTGCAAAGTGTGTCATGGGTATTCCACTTAAACATGGCACCTGTGAACTAAACCTGTATTTTATGGCCAAATTCATAGGCCTTAGATCAGCAGCAGGGTGGAGTTTTGAGGGATTTTTTTTTTAATAAGAATGAACTTCCTATAGCGATGACCAAGTAGTAAGAAAAGGACAAAGGATTAAAATTATGAACTTTAAAAAAACCCTCATACCTTTTTAGCTGTCTTTCATCTTCTTAGACTTCTGTTCTCCCTTCCTTTCCTGTTCTCTCTCACATGTAAAACCCAACAAACTGTTCTTGTTTGTTCTCTGTTGGGTTATGTGAGATTAATGTTACCTGCTTTGCTTCTTTCTTAGTAATGAACATAGGTACCCTGAGGCATTAACTCTGCTCCGGGGAAGAGAAAATGCAGCATCAACCATGGATGGGTCTTGGTGACCCTTGTAGTCCATTCAGGCTGTTCTCCTCCTTGGTTTTATCTGTTTCTTCTCTCAAAAGCAGGCAGAAGGGAAAGGTGGAAGAATACGACTGAAAAAAGTACACCCTCTATCTCCTTCAGAAGTGGAGAAAACAAAGTTTTGGAAGCTTTATCAATATTCTTCATATGCTATGAGTTATTGATTCCTACTGTATAACTTTGTGTAGATTAGAAATGTAATCAAATTTTGTTTCTTTTTTTTTTTTCCATGTAGTGTCATATTCTCACTGCCGAACACTTATATTGTGATAAGCAAACTGTGTCCTTATTTTTGCTTTTGGAAAATCACACCACACCAGCATTAAGACTTTTCTGGATTTAGTATGATGCAGAGAACAGTTTGTCCAAAACGTGCTTTAATGTTTATGGATCTTCAAAATAAGCAGTTAAATTTTAATCTTACAGATAGAAATTTGGAAGAAGGTAAAAATAGTTAAGAATAGCATTTCTTGTGTACATTGCATGTGTACATTATGTTTCAGAGGAGAGTTTGTTAAAAAATGGTAACAGATGAATGTGCATATTAATTACTTATGGTTTTTGGGTTTTCAACAGGGTCTGTGTTTTAATGGAAGTGCCTTCGTTTTGTACCTCATTGCTGCCATTGTGGATGCAGCTTCAGTTACCAAAGAACTGGACAGGCACAATTACAACAGCTGGGCAGCTTCTTCAGTAAGTTAATTTTTTGTTTAAATGAGTTCTACATCCAATAACGTTATATCAAAAGAAGGCTTGCTGGAAGTGCAGGTTGAAATGCAATGTGTTCTGGATTTTGAAAAGCTGCAGACTGATGTAGAAGCTCACACAGAAAACCTGTAGGTAGCTGTAATTTAGTTCATAATTTTTGGAGGTGCTTAGAAATTTCACCAGGAGATGACAGACACATCAGAAAAGGCTTTAATGTTTTTAAAATCATACTGCTTTTCCCCTCCTCTGCCCCCATTTATTACTGGCTCTCTGGCAGAGAGGTTAGCTGCATATCAGAGCAGACAAAACAGATTTTGTGAGCACCTGGTCACCTCAGTGCACTTGGACAACTTCAAAAGCAGCTTAAACTAACTCAGCTAACTTTGCATGCATGTGGACTATGTGCAGCTTTTTGTGGGCTGAGGCATGTACACAGCACTTTTGGGAAGGTCCTGAGGTGGTACTGCTGTTTCTACAGTGATCTTCCTGTTACAGCCTCAATTTTCGATAGTCTTTCTTCTGAGTTGGGTGGCTAATGCCTGAAAAATCATGTAACTTCCAAGTGTTTTAAAGTGGATGCAAATTATTGATTAGTCTGCCATTACTGTCTTGCTACTTAGATCTGGAAATCTGAAACAGTCAGTCAAAATGGGTGAAAACCAACATTTTTATTTTTTAAAGTTGGTTTTTTTCTTTTTAAAGTTTAAAAGTTCTGTCATTTTCTGAGTGGATGAATACATGCTCTAAGTAAGTTAAAGGAATTGTAACGGAACTTTTTGTATGTTGTGGTAACAGCAGTCAAGTTCAATTGTATCCAGTGATTCGGAATTACATTTACTTTGCTGACTGTTCATGCTTCTGCACTTGTCCTCTCTGGACTATTCACAAATCCTGTCTTCTGTCTTCTGTATGGCTATGAACACAGAGACTTGAACACCTGCTGCTCTGTTTTTGTCCTGAGAATTGGATAACTACGTTGCTGTTGCTTCAGTGGTGTTCAGGGTCTTCTCCCCTTGGCAGTTCATAGCTGTTGATCTGTTACTCAGCTACTGCTGTTGACAGGAGTTTGCTTGCTGCTAGATAAGCTTCCATGCTGATTCAGGTTTTATGCAAAATGCATGAATGCTCAGGGTCTCATGGGATGTTTGGAATCTCTTCTAATGCCTCCTAATAGTGTTTATCTAATGCACTGTCTAAGTAAACTATTAAATGTAGATTCTGGCTTTCTGAACCCATTAAGGTTTCATGGATAGATGTTTGTGAGAATTCAGCAAATCTATCCCCAACAGGGATTATTCTCACTTAGAAAGACTTTTAGATGGAGCTTTTATTTAATAAGAAACAAAATTATTGGAAAATAAGAATGCTACAATTTTCTATTGTAATAATATTTTACATCATCATCTACAGTTTTGAGTGCCACAGATTAAAATTAAGTTAGACAAGACTCACCAAGAGCCCTCTGTTGGAGGGCTTAGATTTACTGCCTGTATGCTCGCTTAGTTCCTGCTCTCAGACCTGAAGTAGCTACCCAAGCCAATGATGGTAAGAAACAATGATAAGCAAGAAACATTGGTAGACTCATAAGATATATTTAGACTGGAAGAGACCTCTGGAGGTCAGCTGGTCCAACTCTTT